GGTACTATACAAAAAAAATTGAGCCAAGATTTTAATGTCAATCGAGATTTTTGACGATTTTCAAAAATTTAAAATTTGACAAATTTGGCATTTTTCACAAAATTTTTTTCCAAAATATTTTTTTTTTCAATAGCCCCAAGTGTCCCCTTTCAAACAAACGAAAGGCCATTCCCGTATCTATAAAAACGTTCGAGATATTCCAAAAACAAAATTAAAAAACTGAAAAAATAGTGAAATTTTGAATTTGCATATCTTTTGAATAAAATTTTTTAATTTTTTTTCGTCTGGCAGAAGTTCGTTATATGATAAAAGAACATTTCTGATAGGTTAATTTGACATGGAATGACCCAACTATATTTTACTATTAAGTCGGAATAACACTAGTAATCCTGTTGCTGCAACATGGCTGCCTCCTGTTGCAGCTACAGGAAAATCCTGTTGCTGTAACAGGATTTTTTCCTGTTGCTGCAACAGGAGGCAGTTATGTTGCAGCTGCAGGAAAATCCTGTTGCTGCAACAGGATTTTTTCCTGTTGCTGCAACATGACTGCCTCCTGTTGCAGCAACAGTTATTTTTTTTCCGTGTATAAAGTGAGATTCTTCAAGAGTGTTTCTTACACTGTAAAAAAATTTTTTGGACTCAGTGTGGTGTAAATGATTCGGTGTAAAAATTTTTAACACGGACGGTGTGAAAATCGCACTAAGTGTAATGTTAAATTAGCATTGTAAATTTATTTTTTCAAAGTTTGTCTTTACTCTCATTCAAATTTTCTTTCACTATCTTTCACTGAATTAACATCTTTAGAACTCGAACAGATACCACAAGCTTCCAGCTTTACTAGTATTCAAGTTCGATGGATTTCCATCGAACTAATGGGAAGAGAGAATATCTCTCGAACATAAGGGAAGAGGGAGCGTCCATTTATGGGCTTGAATTAAAAAAATCTACTAGTCATTTGACCACAACGGCATGAAAAAACTCTAACTTGTACCCAGGTAGGAAAGAACAACTGGACAAGGCTTGGACCAAGCTTGGGCCAAGCGTCACCAGCCTTGGGTAAGGCTTGGCACGAGCCTTGGCTAAACATTGGACTAAGGCTCGGTCCAAGCCTAGGATGATAACTATGTCCCCAAGCCTTGGGAAACCAAAACACAAGGCTTGGGCCGAGTCTTGGGAAACAAATGGCCCAGGGCTCGGACCAAGCCTTGGGGAACTAATTTGCCAGGACTAAAAAAAATGCAAACATTATTAAAAAATTAAATTTGATTTTAATTGTATTCGTGATTTTAAGGTTTATTATCAGCTTTATGTTATCGTATCTCGCGATCACACCAGATTACCTTGAAAAAATCTTTGCTCACGATGAGAATCGAACCTGGGTCACCCGCGTGAAAGTCTCGAACTGTACTGACTTTGCTGCACTTTGTAGTAACACTAACAGATTAGTTTTAGTTACTTAAATATCACTCAGTCATTTTGCTTTATTACATGATATTCCATAATTAAAATTGAACTTATAACTGCTAAAAATTTTGTTTAGTTCAGATAGTATAATTTGTTGACATAATACCGTTATGAAATATATTTTTTTTTAATTCATTTGATTTTAACGAAATAATTAAATTTTCTATTACCAAAAATAAATACATGATCATAATTTTGAGCAGTTTCGAGAGTTTTATACATTTTTCAGCAACAAAGAAATGATAGTTAAAAATAATTTGTCAACGATTAATAACTATATTTATTAAAATTTTTTTGTTGACAAGTCATTTATTACATTCTATTAAATTCTTCTATCAGTGTTCGAAGCATTGGGCCAAGTATCGAACCGGGTTTAAGTCCGTGGTGATTTTTCAAGGCTTGGTTGAAATGTATCGAGACATTGGGCCAAGCATCGGACCAGGCTTCGGCCAGTCGTGATCTCCCAAGGCTTGGTTCCAAAATATTGAACCATTGGGCCAAGCTTCGGGTCAGGCTTAGGCCAGTGGTGCACCCCAAGGCTCGGCTTGAGAATATCGAACTATTGGGCCAAGCCTCGGGCCAGGCCTGGGCCACTGGTAACTTACCAAGGCTTGGCAAAGTAACAAATGGTCCAAGGCTGGGCCATTTGTCAGCATTGGTTAACCCTACCTGGGTAATGTTAAATTTGAACGGTGTTAGCTATTGACATTTTTAAAAATATAAGCTCATCCCGTTGTTACATTCATCAAGACCTTTCATTTAAGTATCCACATCATTTTTTCGAATTGCACGCCTCATAGAGCGAAGCGCGTGAGGTTGTGCTTTATACTCGACTCGTCAAGGTCAAGCAATTTTGTGATCTTTAAATGCCTTTATCACAACCATATTACACTTATACAATAATATAAGTAGATGTACACCGAAAAAACACTTAAATTAAACCATCTTTTACTTTCTAAAATCATTTCATGTTGCTATTTAAAAAAAAAAAACGTTTTGAAAAAAATTTTACGTGGACGTCCGGATGTCAGCCCATTTTGGATGTACCAACGATTACTCCCGAACAAATTGATATTTCAAGACCGGACCTTTTTTATTAGTTTAAGAATTCGATTAACTGGGTCCCTATTTCATATCAGTGGCCTAGTTTACGTATTTTTTTTTTTAATTGAATTTTTATTAAAATTCACTACGATACAATCGTACAAAGCCAAACGAACTTTTCTTATTTGTCACCTGAAAACTATGGCGCCACTTGATCAAGCTAGATTTTTTTAAACTGCGTGCGCATATGACAACAAAAAGGGCACCGATATTTAAAAAAAAAAAATAAAAAATACTCTGTAAGATATTACTTAATTATAATTTCTTTTTTTTAATCAATTACACAATTAACTTTTAATTTCCCGCTAAGAAAATCGAAGATTTTCAAAAATCGGGAAGTTATTGTTTTCACCCCGTTTTACGAAAATCGAGTTTTCATCGAATCTCGACGTTTCGAGGTCTTAGGAAGCTTCCCTAACTATTCCCGCGGTGGTATCTGTATATTTGTATGTATGTGTGTGTGCGTATGTGTGTGTGTGTGTGTGTGTTTTTTTGTTTTTTTTTTTTTTTTTTTTTTTTTTTTTTTATAGAGGAGGTAAAATACATTTGCGTATGCCAGGACTTGGTGTTGTGCCAGGACTAGGTGTTGGTGCCTGGGTATAATGATCTGTCGTGAAGAAGTTTCACTTCTTACCTGTGTACTCTGGTACACACACATATTTTTTTTATTTTATAGTGGAGGTCAAATACATTTACGTATGCCAGGACTCGGTGTTGGTGTATGGGTATGTTGGACTCAGAAGTCAATACTATTTTGCAACAATACCGACTAAACATCCTCCTCTCTCCTTTCCCCATAGATGTTACAGGGAAGACTGGATCAGGACCGCGTTAGCATTACTTCAATCCAGTCCATGTTGTGCCTCACGACACCTACTTCTTGTCACTACTGGTTTCTAATCCCTTTCTGCGATTTTTTCTTTTAAAAGGCGCTGCGCGAAGACTGCTACAGCTGTCCAGTTTTCTTCGTTTATGATCATGCAGGTTACCAAGCTCTCAGGGGAGAGCGTGGTGTCTATTGTTTCTTCGGTGCTGATTCTGTCGTCCTTCCACCGATCACACTCGAAAAACGTGTGCTCGGCGTTGTCAATTTTGTCTGGACAGTATTTGCACGTTGGTGTGCTGTGCAAACCCATCTTGAAAAGATAGGCATTGAACTGCCCATGTCCCGTCAATAGCTGGGTCAGAAAGAAGTCCGTGTTCCCGTGCTTCCGAAAAAGCCAGACGTTGATGTTTGGAATCAGACACGCTGCCCATCTGCCCGTCTCACCCGAAGTCCATCGGTCCTGCCACTCTTGCTGCGTTTCCGTTTTTATCCTCGTTCTTGCTTTCTTCATATTTTCGCCATTGATTTTAGCGTCGTAGAGTCTTGGTCTCGAGAACGCTAATAGGTCGATGGGCACAGCTCCCGCAATGACCAATACAGCCGCTTCGGAAACCGTGCGGTAGGCGCAGGCAACTCTGAGAGCGCCTCGCCGCTGCACTGCTGCCATTTTCCGCCGATAGGTTTTCTGCTTTAATATATCTGCCCATATTTCCGCTCCATAAAGCAGTACCGAATGGACTGCTTCCAGAAGGACTCTCCCCTTTTTGGTTCTTGGTCCCATAGTGTTCGTCATAATTCTTGCTAGGCTAGACACCGTCTTGTTGGCTTTCTGGCATGCATTATCGAGGTGTTCGCGGAAAGATAGTTTCTCGTCTATAATTAACCCCAGATAGCGCAGGGCCCTTGTTGACGTTAGTGTTGTTTCTCCCATGTCCACAGCGAATGGTTTTGGGAATCAATTTTGGCGAGTCAGAACGACCATCTCGGTTTTGTGTTTGGCGAGTTTCAGGTGGTATTTATCGAGCCAAGTCTCGACAGCATCAATGGTTTCCCGAGCTAGTAGTTCAGCCTCCTCTACGCTGTCTACTATTATCGTGGCCGCGACGTCGTCTGCAAAGCCCGTTAGCTTCACTTGCTTTGGCACCGGGATTTCAAGAAGCTCGTCGCAGTCCGCGTTCCATAGATCGAGCCCCATTATTGAGCCTTGCGGCACGCCAGCCATTATGGCGTATTCTTGTGGGCCTTCCGTGGTTTCTGCTATTAGCTTTCTTTCGTCAAGGTATGTCCAGCATACAGAGTGGTCTAAACGACGAAGGTGTTATGGCGGTTCCCTTACCTTTGTCTAAGAGAACCAATCTCTGCCGTTTCCAGACCGCGGGAAACGTGCTAGTTGTCAACCATGCGTTGTAAGTGTTCAGGAGTATGTCTGGGTATTCCAGGGCTACAATCTTGATCATCGATGCCGGGATGCCATCAGGTCCAGGTGCCTTTCTTGTTTTGAGTGACTTGACCGCGTCTTGTAATTCCTTAGTTGAGAAGGGTGTTACTTCGCTGTTCTTAGTGTAGTGTTTCTTTTCCCACGGCGGGTATTTAGGAAAAAGCTCCGCTACAATGCTGAGGCATTGTCCATCAAGGCAGGAGACTTCAGCGCCTCTGGTGAAACCTTTCCAAGTCGTTTGACGACAATTTGGTAGGCTTTACTCCAGATGTCATTGTCGAGATCGTCGCAGATCTCTTTCCACAACTTCGCTTTACTTGCTTTGATGGCTCGGTTTAGCGTCTTTTTGGCCTGCTTGTACTCTTTTAAATACAAGTCCTGGCTTGGGGAGCGTTTCGCGGCTCTCGTTGCTCGGCGACGTAGCTGATGGCATATTTTGCGAAGTTCTGCTATGTCTACTGACCACCAGTACGCCGGCCTGTGGAAACTCTGATTTTTCAGCCGTGGCGTAGAGGCGTCACATGCGGCAGCAATTTTCTTCATCGTATTTGTGTGTGTGTGTGTGTGTGTGTGTGTGTGTGTGTGTGTGTGTGTGTGTGTGTGTGTGTGTGTGTGTGTGTGTGTGTGTGTGTGTGTGTGTGTCTGTGTCTGTAGATGTATATAAACCTCTTATAACTTTCGAACGGCTTGACCGATTTGATCGTGGTTGGTGCCATTCGAAAGGGCTTGATCAAACTTAGATTTTGTATATACTTTGGAACGATTCGGACTGGTAGATTTTGAGAAATCGCAAAAAAACTACAAAAAAAAAAAAATCTGAAAAACGGTTGACCCTAAAGGCGATCCCTGCAACTTCCCGCCAATTCCATACCTAAACGCTTGAAATTTCACTTACGACGTTTCTGAACTCTTCGAGCTCAAAAATACAATTTGTGTGTGTTATTTTGCGCTCTCCGAGCTCAAAGAAATAGCTTTTGTATGCTTTTGAGCTCTTCGAGCTCAAAAGGCTGATAGAAGATTAATGAAACAGTATTTTTTGAAGTTTCAAACTGCAATAATTTCTAAATGAATAAATCGATTTTCACGCGGTTGGCAGTATTCCACGCACTTTTTCAGAATCCATGATACACTTTTGAACATAAACTGACCGAACCGAAAATCTTAGAAAAATTTGAAAAATTCACTTTTTCCAAATTTTTTCGAGAACGATAACTCACGAACCAAACAACCAATTTTCACGTTCTTGGTGGCGATCAAAGTGATTTTTTGGGCTCTAATAATTATTTTATTTCTTTAAAATCGATTCGAAGAGAAATGTCGAAGTTATGTGAAAAAACACTTTTTTCGAAATTTTTCGTTTTTGATAACTCTCGAAAGAATTTACCGATTTTGATGGGACTGGTGGCAATCGACGTGGTTTTTTAAGCTTAACAGCTGATTAGTTTTTGGAATTAATCGGTCGAGCCGTTTAAAAGTTATTCCAAAAAAACGATTTTTTTTTAATTTTATTCTTGAGATTTCTCAAAATCTAGCAAACGGAATCGATTCAAATTTTTACGAAATTTAATGACAATAATACTTTTTGGAACGCCACCTATTTCGATCTGATCAGCCGAGCCGTTCAAAAGTTATAAAAGGTTTACATGCATACATACATACTAGGACCTCAAAACGTCGAGATCTGATGAAAACTCGATTTTCGAAAAACGGGGTGAAAACAATAACTCCCCGATTTTTGAAAATTTTCAATTTTCTCAGCGGGAAGTTGAAAATTTTTTCAAAAGTGGTTTTTTTGGAATAACTTTTTAATGGCTTCACCGATCAATTCCAAAAACTAATCAGCTCTTAACATTAAAAAACCACGTCGATCGCCTACAGTCCGGTCAAAATCGGTTGATTCATTTGTGAGTTATCGTTGACGAAAGAAAACCGAAAAAAATGTTTTTTTTGGAATTACTCCGAAGTTTTCCGCTTTATCAATATAAACTTAAAAATTTTTCATGAAGCTTAAAAAACTGCGTTGAATGCCACCAACCGCGCGGAAATCGGTTCATTCATTCAAAAGTTATTGCGATTTGAAAATTCAAAATATAGTGTTTTATCAAATTTCTATCAAACTCTTGAGCTCGAAGAGCTCAAAAGCATACAAATGCTTTTTTTTGAGCTCGGAGAGCTCAAAATAATACACAAATTGTATTAATGAGCTCGAAGAGGTATAAAACGTCATAAGTGCAATTTCAAGCGTTAGGGTATAGAATTGGCGGAAAGTTGCAGGGATGGCCTTCAGGGTCAACCGATTTCCTAATTTTTTTTCTTTAAAAATGAATGAGCATTATGAAGCGTGCACTTTTGGATTTTCCTAACTTTATTTATGTATATTATACATATGAATATATGAAAAATATATCAAAATACATGTGGGTACTCAAATGAAAGCTCTTGATGAGTGTAACATCGAGATAACCCGCATAGAGAAATATATATGTCAAAAATATATGTGGCATATATAATATATATGCCGCATATATTTACGCAAAAAAAAGTATGTCAACATATATTTTTCACATAGATGCTGACATATATGCAGAGATACATGCTTACATATATGTAGACATATAAATAGACATATATGTAAGCATACACTGAAAAAAAAATTTCTAAGTTTGAGAATTTTTTTACTCAAATCAAGAAAGTTAAATTTTTCAAAATTATTTTCTTGATTCAAGTTAAATTTTTTTCTGTGTATCTCTAGACATTTATATGCGCACATATATGCACGCATATATGTGAACATATATCTACGCATATATGTGAACATATGTCTACGCATATATGTGAACATATATGCGGACATATATTTAGCACAAAAAAAGTATATGTGAAAATATATATTTGCATATATTTTTCGCAAATATATTTTTCCATGCGGGAAGCTTATATCCTTATAAATGGAAATAATTAAGAAATGACCTTTCATCTTGAGAACTGTTGACATTTTTAAAGTTATAAGCTCATCCTGATGTTACACTTATCGAGACCATTCATTTGAGTACCCACATCAATTTTCCATATATTTATATATATTACACACATGTGTATATGAAAAATATATCAAAAATGCATGTGGGTAATCAAATGAAAGCTCTTGATGCGTGTAACGTCGTTATGAGTTTATATCTTTAAAAATGTCAATAATTAAGAAATGACCCTGTATCTTGTCAACTACTGACATTTTTTAAGATATAAGCTCATCTCGATCTTAAACTCATCACGACCCTTCATCGAAGTACCCACATCATTTTTTCATCTATTTATATATGGACTCTGTTATGCAATAGTGTGTTAAGTACATAGGATTTCCATAGCACTTAACACATTAATGCATAACAGTGTCCATATATTATATATATTAGGGTGGCGCAAAAAAATCGATTATTTTTTTTTTGAGTCTCGAGTGAAAAAACGTTAGTTTTTGATGTTTTAAGAGCCCTCACCAAAGGACAGCTCAAAAAAAAATTTTTAAGAGGTCACTCCAAATTTTTCAAAATTTCAAAAATCGTCAAAAATCAAATTTTTTTTTTTAATTTTCTTTCTTGTTACGGTATAATTTTATCGACTAAAAAAAAATAAGTTTCTGAAAATTTCAGTTCAAAATTCGAATTTTGAAAGGTCGCTCATAATTTTTTTCAATTTATTAGTGCATTAGTTTACATTTTTTTTTTTATTTAGTACAATAACCGATAAGAATACATCACGAGATGAACTAAAAATCAAGCACAACAGAAAATATAATTTTTTTTAATTTATTTTTTTTTTTTTTATTTAGTACAATAACCGATAAGAATACATCACGAGATGAACTAAAAATCAAGCACAACAGAAAATATAATTTTTTTTTAATTTAATAATTTTATTTAATCAACTGCCAGGCGTGAGTTCGAATCCCAAGCTGGTCTTAGAAACCAGCTTGGTTAAGATTTGACTTTGCGTAGGTTAAGATTTTTTCAAACCAAAAAATCCCCAACGTACCACTCCCAACACTTAAAGTCGGCGATATGACTAATTAACGAAAAATAAAAAAAATTATGAGCGACCTTTCAAAATTTAAATTTTGAACTGAAACTTTTAGAAACTTATTTTTTTTGGTCTATAAAATTATACCGTAACGAGAAAAAAAATTAAAAAAAAAAATTTGATTTTTGACGATTTTTGAAATTTTGAAAAATTTGGAGTGACCTCTTAAAAATTTTTTTTTTAGCTGTCCTTTGGTGAGGGCTCTTAAAACATCATAAACTAACATTTTTTCACTCGAGACTCAAAAAAAAAGTAATCGGTTTTTTTGCGCCACCCTAATATATATGTATATGTGAAAAATATATCAAAATGCATGTGGGTACTCAAACGAAAGCTCTTGATGAGTGTAACATCGGGATGAGCTTATATCTCTAAAAACGTCAATAATTAAAAAAGTACAGTGCAATTTAACAAAAGTCATTATTTAATAAAGCAAAATTTTATTTATTTATAGTTCACAAGTCACGGCAGTCACGTAGTGATTGCAAGGTTACTAGTTATAGTTATTAAATTTGCAAAGTTATAAATAATAACACGGAATAGTGTAAAACAGTAAATTACACCGTGTTAAATTTTACACGAGTGAAAATTTCACACGAAGGAAATTTTACACCGACTTTTCACACTTACACGACGGTGTAAAAGTCTCTGAGTCCAACTTTTACACCGAAATTTTTTACAGTGTATAGATGATATAATAATCATATTTTGAAGTCTTAACATAATTTTATTTGAACTTTAAACGGTACAAGAACGGTTTTTTTTATACAGAATACCGTTTCAATATAACTTTTTTGGGGCTACTTTAGCGCAAGGTCCAAAAGTGCTGCACGTGTCACTTTTTTTCTTGTTTTTCTGTTTCTCGTTTTTCTGTTGGTGAGAAAAAAATTGCTTTGTATTTCTGACATGTGCGTGGGAAGGATAAGTTTTTAAAATCATAAAAAAGCCATTCAGCAGCCGAAGTGGAACTAGATTTCTTATCGTAATTTCAGATCTTTTACAAAAATAAGTGTTTATACAGAATTTTGTTCAACTATCTTGCTCAAGACTTCTGTTATATCCGGCGTTGCTTCATATAACAAACAGGGTCTCTCCCCTTTGACCAAAAGTGCAACGCTTACACTTTATAAATTTCAGCAATCACTCGGACAACACCTCGATTAAGAAATGAGCACACTGTCCACGTTCTGTCAAATTTGCAATTTTAGACCAATAACAAAATTCAACTCCCTTCCGAAAATCCCGATCCGGGTGTATAAAAACCACCGAACACCACGGATCAAATGTTCAGTCTTTTATTAAAGAATACGAAGGAAGGTATCTTCGTAGAACCCGTGTGGGTCCTTATACCGCGTTACGTATAAGGCAGTATAAAGCACTAGGTCGCTTATACGAAATTCTAAATTCATTATCGTCTATTTGATTCTTTAAATTATATCGTCTATGAATCGCGTCAGTGTGCTCTTCAA